GGAAAACCTGAGAGTACTGGACACCTGCTTCATTCTAGTTTGGGACTCTTCATCAGTATGCACCCCGTCAGGGTTCGAACCCGTGAATTGGTGAAAGTTAGAATTCATGGGCCATTGGATCGGGTCCCAGTGGCTCAATGGCTACGAGCTAGCTATTCTTGTAACCAGAAGATCATGGGTTCGAACCCCGGTGGGTGCGTACTGATGAAGAGTCCCAAACCAGGAGGAAACAGCTGTCCAGTACTCTCAGGTTTTCCGGTGGTTCTCTAACTGATGCGAGCTCATGATGAAATCCTCCATCCAATCAAAATAAATGTTCACAAGCAAAAGAATCACACCACCTACTTATAGTAGTCAAATTTTACAACGTTAAATTTTTATCGTCGTTTGACTACATCATTTTAGTAGGAAGGATTCACCCCAGGATAGAAAGGATTGAATCACTAAGCACGACTGTTTAGAGAGACGACAGAGTTGAGAACAGTGGAGCTTTTACACTTCATAAGCTTCGATTTGATGCAAAAGTCTACTCTTCGAAAGTTGACTTTGCTAGACAGCAGCAGGCAATCAACAGAAAGACCTGTCCGACTTAGATTTCATGCTTGTTGGCAATAGTCAGCAAGGTGTATCACCTGCAACTTTGAAGGAGCTCACATCCCCTCTGAGACTCGAAACTGCATCACCCAGTGTTGCAGTCTTAGCACCACAATTTTATGTGACTGATCACCAACAAGCCCACAACTTATGTCAAGTGCTTCCTGCCGATTGACTCCAACAGTCTCGCATCAATTCGAAGAGCACCGCGATGTTCAGCCAACTACTTTGGTGACCACATTGTAAATTTGACTGATAGAATTCAGTCTGCACGAACGCCAGGGACTGGACACATGACAACGGTTACTCGCTAGTGTGATCAATTAATCCAAAGTTGGCTTTCCACAGTAAACGACTTAGTTTTACTATGCACTGTTGAAAGCTTGCTGCTGCTAACATCAAAATAATAATACATAGTTTCGTTTGCCTCACCTTTGAAAATATATGTACATACTTTAGTATATGTGGTACCCTTTGGTCTTCAGCCAAAAGAATAATCAAATTGAAAATTCCTGATTCACACGTTTTGATCACGAATTTTATTATTATTATTATTGCTCCCTTGGATTCCTAGCGGAACATAGGGTTTCAACAGCACATCTCCAATTGTCTGATTCGCTGAAGTCGTTTCCATCTGACCTCATGATCTCCTCTTCATATGAACTCCTCCACATCCCCCTCCGATACACGTCTAAATCATCGTCACGTATTCGGGCTTCCCTCGAGGGAAGGCCTGGAGCGCGCGATGTCATTCGACGGTCTCCTCACTCATCAAGTGTCCGATCAATCTTCATTTTCTTCTACATATTGATGAGCAGTAGGTTCTCGATGGATTCGTTCCCAGAGTTTTCTGTTGCTAATTCTTTCTTCGATATGGAGCCGGAGAAGGCAGCTGTTGATATAAGTATTCAGTGGCCTGTTCGAAATGCTTTAGGTGACGCGCCACGTTTCTGGCCCATATAGAAGGAGACTCTTGTTGTTTCTCCTGAGTGCAGAAGATTTCCAAACTCATTTCAGAGTGATGAATGTCTTTTTCGCCTTTCCGACTCTGGTTTTGACATCCTCATAAGTGCTAACCGCGAGTAGTTAAAACGATGCTCCCCGAGTAAGTGAAAGGAGTGACCTTTGTTGAATTTATTCAGTTGATAATGATTGGTGCCAACTGTATGTTCACCTGAAGCCCATCTTCACTGTTTGCTCCTTCGGGCAATTCGTTGGTTTTTGCCTGCAAGTCATCGAATTTGTGTGACACTAGACATAAGTTATCCGCGAAATCCATTCCATTACAATTAGGAATATTATCAATGATACAACAGGAGGCTTAGTCTTACTCAATGGTACACCTCAAATGGATGCACTGAGTTTACCTTTGTGCATCACGAACTTATACATATAACTGACTATAATAACTTATGACTAACTCTTCATATTAGTTTGTTTATTAGATGTATCCATCACACAGTGATGAAACAGTATTATTTACTGGATGACAAGGTTTCGAACACAATTTATTCCTCATAATCACGAGACTTCAAAACTTGAGTTTATAGCTTTCTTTGTTCTCTCCTGTTTGTCTTCGTAGGGGTAGTAGAATTTTCCAGATATCCGGCTGGGACAGGTGTTGAATCATTCCTATTACACGTATTTGCAGTTGATTCGACAAACAAAGCTTCCGTTGACATCAAACTCTCCCTCCACCATGTTGTTACATTAGATTTTAAACCTGTCATCTTATCCCATCCAGTCTGTTGTATGGTTGTGTGTAATTGCATATGGTGTAGTGCTATAGATGAACTATTCTCTAGATTTCTTATCCCATTCGAGTCAACTAATCTAGATTTTGCTAGGTTTTTATGCTCGGCTAGTCTGACTGCACCTGTCTACAACTTTCACCCACGTACTTGACCTGACAACCATGGCAGGTTATTAGATAAACTAAATTGTTTTGTTTTAAAGGTTCTACAGGATCCTTCAACCGACAAACCTTGTTTCTAATTGAGTTTTTGGGTTTGAATACCAGCCACTTTTAATCCTGCCTTGTTAAGAATTCTGTCTAAGTTTTCCAAGGTTCCTTCCTGTATGGAATTACTACTGATGATTCAGATTCCTTATTGTTGGTGTTGTCATTATCTTGCGCATATTTTACAAGCATGTGGTCACTAATATTACTATTATTATTATTGTCACTACTATCATTATTTATTTTATTTTTACATTCCCCTGCACACTTTCTGACTAATTTATCAGGGTAATTATTAAGTTTCAAAGCTTCTCTTATATGCCTCATTTCTTGTCTTAGATTTTCCTTAGTACTACTTAGCTTTTGTGCTCTATTATTTAAACATTTCACCAATCCTACTTCCGATCATCCCATCCTATATCAGTGAAAATTATTATTATTGCTACCTTGGGTTCCTAGTGAAACACAGGGCTTCAACTGCACGTCTCCATTTGCTTCTGTCTTCTTCTGTACTTTTTACCTGCATCCATGTTAGTCCATACTGTTTCAACTCCTCTTCACACGATCTCCTCCATGTCACCCTTGGACATCCACTCGCCGCTTCCCTTTTGGGTTCCACTCAGGGGCCTGACGCGCGATGTCACCAACCGGCCTCCTCAGTGAGTGTCCAATCCATCCATCTCCACTTTCTCCTGCATATTTGTTGGGCGATTAGTTCTTATTTATTTTTTTATTTTTGATTACAACTTGATTCCACACTGTATTTTTGGTACAAGTATGCAATTTTTAGCATGGATATCGGTAGCCCAAATTTTGCAGGAGGGAGAGATTGATGTCAACGGAAGCTTTGTTTATCGAATCAACTGCAAATACGTGTAATAGGAATGATTCAACACCTGTCCCAGCCGGATATCTAGAAAATCTTACTACCCCTACGAAGACAAACAGGAGAGAACAAAGAAAACTATAAACTCAAGTTTTGAAGTCTCGTGATTATGAGGAATAAATTGTGTTCGAAACCTTGTCATCCTGTAAATAATACTGTTTCATCACTGTATGATGGATACATCTAATAAACAAATTAATATGGAATTACTTATTAACACAGTAACCAAGTTTTACACATATATTAAAACTCTTTCACAGTATCATTTTAACCTCATTCCAAAAAATTAGTTTAGTACATTTAGAGAGGCACTGGTTCAGTGTTAGAATGCTCGCCAACCACTTACATGGTCCCAGGTTCAAATATCAACCGACTCAGTCCTCAGCCTCTCCTACACCCATTAGTAATGTGGCGTGTGCTACTTGTAATATTTATCTGTAGTACATATATATATATATATATATATATAAACGTATGTTTATCGGCATTAAACATCAAATAGCAAGGAGATAGATTTGATGTCAGGGAAAGTATATGATACACCGTTGCGAAGATACGTGGGAGACGTGACAGGAACACAAAGAAACACAATATGAAGGCCAGAAGTAGCAGCACAATTACAACACGGAAGATCTGTGCAAATGGCGGTTTGAAGATAAGACATACGTAATTTCACTGCAGAGCGATACGAAATTCCAAAAAACATTCCTTGTCAAGTCTCTAGTCTTCTACTGTTACAGTGTAACAGCAGAAGACAAGGACCAGGCAACAGATCGTTTTATTACGGAAATCAGCACGTATTTATATATATTTCATGTACATTATTAGAGCTTATTCAAGCAGACAAACACAGTCTTCTGATTGGTTGTTTCTTGCTCAAGGTGACTGGTTTCTCGGAAAGTTAAGCCATATATCTGCGAATCGTATTTCTGTCTGTCTGTTTTCGACATAGAACTTTACACAAATGTGCGAAGTTCAAGTCGCCACATCCGTGTAGCACGCGAAGCAAGAGAGAAAGTACAAGAAAAGCATAATAGAAACAGTGAGCAGAGGTGTGAGACAAAGGAGTAATAAAGAAAAACAAAACAGTTTCATTGGAGATCATTAGCGAATCGTATTTGCCCACTTTAAGTCTGTTGTGGTTGGTTGTTGAATCGGTCTTGATTATATTTTTTCATGGCCAATATTAGCGACATATACATTGACGTAAATTAATGTCTACCAATTGGTTAGCGGCCTGCTATCACCACAACAGTAACACGGGGAAGGTTGCGCGTAAGGCTAGAGACGCCATCCCATAAACAACAACAACAACAACATCACTGGTACACAGCAATTCCAAAAGACTCAAAACCTAAAGCCTTATGTTCCACTCCGAATACAAAGGAGTAGAGAGTCAGACAGAGGATACAAACAACAAAAGTTGAAACAAGGCAAAATTATTATGAGAAAAAGACTCAAAGTACTTGTAGACTGATGATATGTAGCACACTCGAACAAAAAAAATTTATACACCTAAGACAAATATAAGTCACACATATAAACAAAAAAATCACATACTTCTTCTGGAAAATGAACTCCAGGAACAGCTGGTACACACGTCATAAAATCAGTTGTCTTCACTGGTCTCAATACAATTGATCGTAGAATAGAAGGAACAGATACAACTTGACTTGGATCACGATCAAAGTGAATCGGTATCAGCACGATAGGCATTTGATCAATTTTATTCATACAACCAGTATTTTGAAGTACTGACATCACTTTATGATCAACTTCTCGAAGAGTATCAATAACTGGTTCACGAAGATATGTGATTGTGACATCATTGACTGCATGAAGAACTTGTGGTCCCAATATATAGACGACTCTGAAGGAAATATTCAAATAAAGTTAAAACAATATTATTATTATTATTATTACGAACACAAATAATAACATTGACTGACTGTATGAATGAATTTCAATAGAGAGAACTTAGCACAGAAGTGCATCAGTCGAACTTCCCACACTCCATGTAGCCCATAGAGGCAGAGAAAAGAGAAAACATATCCAATATAATAATAATAATTAACATAAATATACGGGAGAAAGAATGAGTGAAGTGGAAAAACAATGGAGGGTTACGAAGAGTGAATGTATCTACCCCAGTGAGAACGATTTTCAGTCATATTGTGGTGACAGCAGGCTGCTAGCCAATTGGTAGACATTTATTTTTTATTTTAGATTTACAGCTTGATTCCACACTGTATTTTTGGTGCAAGTATGTAATTTTCAGCATGGATATCGGTAGCCCAAATTTTGCAGGCCGACCATAGATATCAGGTGTGCGCCGGCATGGGCTCGAACCCCGGACCATGTGCATGGTCGGCGAGAGTCCTAACCACTGTGCCACCGACGCACATTAATTTACGTCAGTGTCTAGGTCACTAATATTGGCCGTGAGAAAATATGAACAAGACCGATTCAACAACCAATCACAACAGACTTAAAGTGGGCAAATACGATTCGCAGATATATGGCTTAACTTTCCGAGAAACCAGTCACCTTGAGCAAGAAACAACCAATCAGAAGACTGTGTTTGTCTGCTTGAATAAGCTCTAATAATGTACATGAAATATATATAAATACGTGCTGGTTTCCATAATAAACGATCTGTTGCCTGGCCCTTGTCTTCCGTTGTTACAATATCACCAGTAGTCTATAGTCACTCGCTATTAGCATCCAAAGGACTCCAACCAGAGAGTCTACACCTTCCTACGTAGCTAGCTCGAACCCAACTAACCCAACGCACTGTATATCAGCTAACTTTATTCGTTGAGCAAGACAGTGGCTCCTTTGATATCTGCATTCTACATATATTCGAAAAAATGGAGCCGATATATATAATATATATATATGTCACTCAGCTGGATGGATTTGGTGTTATTGTGTTCTCAAAGTCTTCAGTGCTAACCGCCTGTTGCATCAAACTGGCATTACCAACAGAGCTTTACTAAGGAAATCATAAAGTTATTGTAATCCATCTAAGCGTTCGACTAATCAGGCACACTTCGAAATTCGTATAACTGCGTCACACTCGATCACAGTTACTATCGTCTGACACTGTCTGACTGGACCATTGAACATAGAACTTTCCGTTGAAGTACAGCAGTTTGAGTTGCCACACTCCAGCACACCAAAAATGACAAAAGAGATTTGAAAGATCGATTATAAGCATAAATATGTATGGGAGAGAGAGCAGAAGCAAGGGATAAACATAACGGTTTAACGAATATAAGAAATTACAAAAAGAGTGACTTCCATTTGCGACAATGATGATGATTTCCAAGCATATCATCAATTCTCTCCAGCCATTGGTTTTTACTGTGCCGAGGACCCCAACCAGTCAGGAAGTCTACACCTTCCTACGTGGCTTAAACTAACTGTTGTGGATTTCACTGACTGGTGAAGCCATGTTTTCGTTTGACCGCCGCTAGCCCTTTTCCATCTTGACCCTATGTCAGTTAACATTGTCCGTCGAGGAGGGCCATGACTAGGCATGTAGGCGTTACACATCTTCTAACCATCTCAGTCGATGTAATTTCACAGCCTCGTCGATTGATTTCCCATCCTTACCTAGCCCTCGACGGAAGCTTAACCCCAATATTGCTCATCCCATTATACCATTTCACACAGGAGATAGAACGCAGGCACCTATGATCAAAGACAGCTAGCTAGCCTGGCTTTTCATGTCTTCCACTCTCAATGGCCATACCTCACTCACAGCCATAAACAAGGACGGAGCGGACTGATGAGCAGTACATTCCGCCCTTTAGTCGAAAGCCGAATATCACATCTACGCCAGAGACGGCGTAAACTGGCATATGCGAAACTAGCCCTCTGTATGGGTAATGAAATTTCGTCAGAGATCAAACAGTCGGGGGTGATGGTATTTCCCATATAAGTGAAGTGGTCAACGTGCTCTACCACTTCACTCACTATTTCTAGGCTAGGAGTCAGAGTATTCCAATCCTGTAGCATCCATCATCTAAAATTTGGTGGGAACGAATCGGATGCCAAACATTCGAAGGTTGTAGCTCAAGGTGTTCAGACTACTCTGCATTTTGTCAGCGTCTTCACCTAGGAGTAAGGAATATATCATGTGCATATTCTAAGTCAACGAGTTTAGTCTGTCTCTGTCTGTCTGTTTTCGACATAGAACTTTGCACAAATGTGCGGAAGTTCAAGTCGCCACATTCCGTGTAGCACGCGAAGCAAGAGAAGAAAGTACAAGAAAAGCATAATAGAAACAGTGAGCAGAGGTGTGAGACAAAGGAGTAATAAAGAAATACAAAACAGTTTCATTGAAGATCATAAGTCACAGGGAGTGGATGCATCTGCGCCACTGAGAACGGTTTTGAGCCATGTCACCAATTGTTTCCAACCATAGATTTTTACCGTCCCGAGGACCCCAGCCTGGAAGTCTACACCGTCCTACGTGGTTTAGACCAACTGTTGTGGATTTCATTGACTGGTGAGGCCAAGTTTTTGTTTGACCGCCGCTAGCTTTTTTCCAGTCTGACCCTATATCCGCTAACATTGCTCGTCGAGGGAGGCGATGGCTTGGCATACGTAACACATGTCCTAACCATCTCAGTCGATGTAGCTTCACGACTTCGTCGATTGATTTCCCCTGTTTACCTAGAACTCGACGCCTAACCTCCATGTTGCTCACCTTATTATGCCACTTTACACGGGAAATAGAACGCAGGCACCTATGATCAAAGACAGCTAGTCTTTTCATGTCTTCCACGAGTTTATTCCCTGGTAACAAGTCAATGCCTGCGTCTCTGAAGTGAGTTAGGGTTAAGTCCATTAGTACATCTATGATGAAACTGGATAGAAATGGGGATAGTGGGATTCCCGACGGACACCACTCCAGATAATAATTCTCAGTAAACTTTCATAAAAACGATGAAATCTCATTGTTCGTACATATCAATAACTACAGTTAGTTTAAATTCATGATTCTGACGCCATTTTTAATTTGAATAAGGCTTTAGGAAGACAAATATCACGAGGTGTGATATCATTTAGTCGTCTCTCTGCAATCCGCTCTACAACTAGTAGGTATGCTTCAGAATAATAAAACAAAATGTATGACAATGACCCAATTGTTGCATAACACAGCAAAAGAACATACTAATAACCAGTCATATTAGAGTCATGTGATGAAATAATTTAGATTATTATTGGTGATGGAAGCGCTTTATGGCATTAATCACATGCATTAAAAAACTACTACGTGTACAGAGAAAACAACTGACTTCAAGCTTTGCCTACCATGGAGTACTTGACCTATTAAAAAAAACTCAAGTGACTATTTTTTTGTTTTATATAACTGAGTTCTTTATTGTCTGTTGTGTCTCAGTAGCATATTTATCACTTCTGCCCTGTGACACGGCAGCAGGAAGCGCAGTCGTTGTTAATCCGGGCCCTGACAGATCCGGCATGATATTTCGTGAGTTTGTTTAAACCATAGTATTGGATTGGGTAGTTGCTTTTTGTCTAACAGCTATCCAAACAACCTTCCTGGCATGGTAGGACCTCAAGAGACATAAGTCTCAGCCAGTATGGCTTGTTGGGACATTTCAGTGTTCAAGCCCGATCACCACGTGAAGGTAGCAGCTTTCGGTCGGTGCCAAAACATGGCACCAGTCAATGAAATCTACAACAGCTAGTCTAAGCCACGTAGAAAGGTGTAGACTTCTTGAATGGTTGGGGTCCTCGGGACGGTAAAAACCAATGGCTGGAAACAATTGGTGACATGGTTCAAAATCGTTCTCAATGGATGGCTGGTACAGATGCATCCACTCCTTGTGACTTATGATTTCCAATGAAACTGTTTTGTTCTTCGTTACTACTATTCCTTTGTCTCACACTTCTGTTTACTGTCTCTATTATGCATTTCTTCTACTTTCTTCTCTTGCTTTGTGTGCTACATGAAGGGAGTGTGTCGACTTGAACTGGTGCACATCTGTGCAAAGTTCTATGTCGAAAACAGACAGACAGACATATAACTGAGTAGCTGACGTAAATTTCATCTTATTATTATTTTGAACTACGCTAGTTGTACAGTGGCTGTTGACAAACCATGAGATGATTGATATTAATCCCTGAAATGTTCACAATAACGGTTAAAACCAAAAACGGTGTGCAATTTTGCAGAAACAGATTCGCAAAACACAAGTGTTCGTCGACTATCATACAAATGACTTCAGTGACTAGTCATCTGAATTTCGCAATTAACATTTCACTACACATAAATTAAGTCAAGGATTTAAACAATGACTGTCCATGCGCACTATTTTCCAAGGCAAATTATTTTTCGAAATAAATTATAGAATTAGTGAGTATCCAGATTGATTGTCATATTTAGAACAACACATTTAAGCGAACAATATTATTTTCAATTAGATCTCATCAGGCTTAACTCTAATATACATGTTATACATAAGTTGACTCTAATATATACATAAGTTTACAAATAAAATTCAAATATAAATCAATCATGGTGTTTTGTCTATAGGATAATAAGATGGTGAATATAAATTGTGCAAGTATTCATAATAGTAGTAATGATAATAATAATAACAATAATAATAATAGAAAAAATAATAATGGTCTTATCAATAATAAGGATGAAAAAGTGAGGCAATCTGTGATAACACGAATAATGAAAAACAGCATGATTAAACAAACAAATGTTCAGGTGATAA